CCCCCCTCCTCTCCACGGTAACGTAGCGCTCCCCGCCACTCCCCTCCGCGGTGACGTAACGCGCAACGCTAACGTAACCGTAATCAACGTCCTACTGTGACGTGGCACTCATTACGCCACAGGCAAGCACTGCAGCTATATAAGTGGATGCACAGTGCGTATCGATCAGTTCGAGTTCGAGTTCTAGTGTGGCTACCGCAGAGTTGTACCGAGTCAGTCAGCGAGTCCTGGACCTATCGTCGAGTTAGCCACCAACCAGTCAGTTGTATTGTGGCATTTGGAGTGTACTAATTGTGATACTGCAGATAGCAGTAATCGTCAGATTGTAATTTGGGTGATTGTAAGTGCGAATGTGAAATAAAATTCGCTACATCGAATACATCGAGAACTTATTTGTCGCGATATACGCCCGATACGCGACAATATGAATTTATTTTATGAGTCTTAACATTTTTGGTACATCTTGTGTCTTTTGAACAGAGCGCTCTTCAGTAGTAGGCTCGAATCTTCATTCTAAACCTTCGCACTGGCATTTTCCTTGCATGGGTTTGCTGTGTTCAATTTCCACAGAAATCTCTTTCCCAGGCCGCATCTTCCATATTGGGCTTAGTGTTTTCCGCTTAGTCTGTATCTAGGGCCCCTCATCCATCTCTCCCATCGGCTTATCCTCTCTGTATTCTTCTCTTCCTCTTCTTTCTCTTTGTAATCTTTCATCCTCCATCCCCTCAATATGCCATCAGCATTTCAGCATTATTTTCAAGGTTCTGTATCGCTGGTGAGGTAACATCCATTTCTTACAATAATGTTTCATTTCTCAGTCTTCATTCTCGTGCCACCTGAAGACATGTGTTCTGATATCAGTCACTTTGCTTTTTCAATTTCAGAGAAGTTGTCATTGTTGTCGCGTCTGTTCAGAAGAAGTGGGCGCAAGCAAAGAGGCTCATCAGCACCACCAGCAGCGCTGGCCACTTTTTCGGCGCAGTTCCCACCAGCAGAGTGGTTCAATCAGCGTGTGGTTCACCTCCACTCAGTGGGCACCCAGACTGTCAGCTCAATGGCATCACAACACAGTGTGAGTATGGGAATTGTCCATCTTCCGATTTTGCTTAAAGAGGCACGTCTGAGAATTGCCTCGGCTTCTGCCATCGGGTACAGGCTTGCAGTCTACTTTGTTGTGTCCATTATATGCAGCTAATTTCTGTCCCCAGTACAGGCCTTCCTTAAAAGCTCAGTAATTATATGCTACCATCTACTCTTAGATCTCTCAAAAGGTCTCTTCCGTTCAATAATTCCAACTATAATTTTGTTTTTGTATTTCTAATCTCCCACATGTACACTACATGTTCAGCTTCATCTTCTCTGATTTGCTAATCCTAACAATATTTGGCAAAAAGTACAAATTGTGAAGCTCCTCATTATGCAGTTTCTCCATCCTCCTCTCAACTCTGTCTTAGGTCCATGTGTTCTCTTCATTACTGTGTTGTCAGACACTCAGTTTCATTGTTTATTATATTGAATAAATATAATAGTAGTCATTTCAGAACTTGTGTGGAGGCTGTGGTAACTGTGTTTGTCTGCTTTATTTGTGTCCATCACACAAACTGCTACAGCGTGTACAGAGTCTGTTTTTCAATTGTCTCTAGGCTCATGATAGTCGGAGACCTTCACAAGGCAGCATTCCGCTCTGGACAGATGAAGATGGAACTTCATCACGGGCAGCTACTTTGCCTCGTCGCCACAGACGCCACGCTTCTGGTGATTCAGCCACATGTAGCATTGTGACCAATGCAACACCAGTGTCCAACCACACCAGTAACATCACTCCCCATTCATCACGTCGCCAACGCTCTCCATCGTCACAGAGCTCAACCCTTCCACGTAGATCGACATCGTCCAACTCTAAGAGCGACCCTCTGTCGCGGACAGCGTCACGCAGTTCTGTCCTTCCCCAGTCTCTTGGCCAAAATCCATCACCTTGCAAAACCTCTGCAACCACTATATCATCAAATGAAAAGCCAAATCATCAGTCAGGGCCCTCCAAGGTACCATCACAAATATCTGTAATCACCCCTGGCAGTACACCAAGTAGGTCTTCACTGTCTGTACACCAGAACAGCAACATATCGCCAATACAATCATCAACCATAAGCAAAGCAACTCCTACTTCTTCTCCAAACAGAAGTCTCTCAGGAGGTCCTTCAAGCAGCTCGTCTTTGAACAAAAGTCTGCCTGGCACTTGCGGCAGTAATAAGTCTCCCAGCAACAATGTGGCCACTCCCACTGTTAAGAGTAACAACTCGAGTCGGAACCTCGGTAGTTACTCCCTGATCAAGAACTCTGCAGCTGGCAACAGTCTCGATACAAAGGGTGACAATCAAGTCAGTCCTCAGAAGAATACCTCATCATCATCGTCACCAGTGGGCAACAAGAGCTCAATTACCCTGCAAGTGTCCACAACAAACAGGACATCACCACCATCAAGCTCCGGTTACTCCAGTCAATGCCAGTCCAGCAACGGACGTGCAAGTGTCCTCTCTTCAGCTTCATCAGCTGTTGTGCCTCCATTCCAGGACTTGACATCCCGCAGGAATGTTACGGTTATGGCAGGGTCTCCAAATGATCATACAACCACCACCACTGCTACAATAAACAGTGGTCCAAACACCAAGATCTACGTGCAGCAACAGAACTCTCCCATCAGATCCGTCATCACGTTTGAGAATGGCATTAAACACAACACAAACTCGCTGCCAAATAAAGACATTTTGATACTGAATGGATTTTCCTCACATGCTGACGGTAAGAGCAGTTCAAAGGAAAATGTGTCTATGAATATTGGAAAGTGTAAAGGGAAAAGTGACCATGCACAATCAAAACCAGAGAGGCCTAAGTCTCTGTACAGTCCAAGAGAGAAGATAAAGCGTGGAGGGGAGAGGCACCATGAATCTGCTGGAAATAGACTGGAGAGAAGGAAATGCCCTTCGCTAGAGGCTCTTGCTGCTGCCGCCGATATTTCAAGCCTAGAGGCAGCTACCAAGAATAAGCACACTAATAGTTTAAATAGCAATAACATTATTAATGAAAATATTCACAAACGGCCTTCCTCTTCCTCTTCTTCTTCTCTTACAACAAATGGAGGTAACTTAGTTTCCACCCATCACCCAAACTCACATCCGCCCTCCACACAACCGACTTGTAGTAATCCAACGATGAACAACACACGGATTCTGCGCAGCCTGTCAGCCTCCCCAGCACTGCCTGTGCGAAGCAAGGAAAACCTCAGTTATAAAAATGTGCTTCGAAATTCACCCAGCACGCCACCGGATACAATAACACCATTGAATCTTCATCTAGAAGGGATCAAAAATAAATTTTGCAGCAATCCATCAAGTCCTACAAAGTCTTTTGATAATTTTGGAGGTTCTTATGGTAATCTCTACATTGAAGGTATGGGAGATACTGACAAATTTCTGTCTTCAAATGCACAAGAGCTGCAGGCCAGGGATAAAGGTTCAGAAGAGAGGAGTTATGAATGCAGCAGCACGGATCTGTGTCCGTACTCAAGCCTCAGTGACCTCACAGTTCACTTCAAGTCCATTGCGGCACAGAAGATTCTGAAGGGGGTCAGTATTAACAGTATTGACACGTTAGTAGAGGTCAACATGGCAGCTGCAGAGAAGCAGAACAACTGTGATGTCACAATTCACACGGACTTTGGTATGGTCTGAAACCTCGTGTATCAGGTGAGTGAAGCATCTTGACACCACTGGATCAAGTCTTGGTTTGAGTGTGTAGTTATTTTGTTTTGATGCCTCAACTACTGAGCTGCACCAGTCAGACATTAGGAGGGTGTGGATTGGATAGGACCCAGTGCTGGGTTGTTGTGAACATAGTAGCAGACTTTAGGGTTTGTTCACCAGCTGAGCAACTCTCAGTTTGTTGAGAAAGAATGCCCCGTGGAGTATGTTGTTTTTTCTGGTGGGTCCTTCCTACTGATTAACTGACCGCCTAACTGATTCTCCTTCCAGAGATGTTTGTGTCTTGTACCATCAAAACTGATGTTGCCATGCATGCCCCAGAGAAGTCAGTCAAATGGTCCTTGGGGGCGTACCTGTTGGCAGCAAGACTGCAGTCTTTGTACATTTTTATTGGCGTAAAGTTGTGCGCAATTTCCATGCAAGTGGTTAAGTTTACAATGTTATAAGCTTTCCTCATACGTACAGTTGGAGGTTATGTATGTTGACAGGGTGTGGAAGAATTATTAATGACAGCAATCATCATATGTCAATATTTTTTTTCTTTGACACTACAGCCCCAATTTGGGCGTTGGCCTGCCTCCATGAAACTCTCTGTTTCACTTCTGTTTACTAGATCTTAGACACTTGGTAGGACTCCTTGCGCTGGTGATCAGCTCATTGCAATTCCTCTACCTGCACACAAACACACAAAAACATGCATACACACACAAACACCAAACATCTATGCCCTGAGTGGGATTCGAACCCACAATCCCAGCTTCCAAGCGAGCGAAGACATTTCATGCCTTAGACCACTCGGCTACCGTGACCGGCCATAAGTCACTATATCATAAGTTATATTTCTTCAGCTTGATAAGTAATGTTAAACCCATGTTGAGTAGGACCTAGTGAAGTTCTAATGTTTTTGACACACAAAATACTCATAACATTGTAACTGTGCATGGCTGTGGTAACCTGTTGCAGGTGATTCTGTGTCTTGCTGGGATGGCACACAAGAGGATCAAGCAGTCGCTGATAAAATGTGCGTGCAAGGGAAGATATTAAACCCAGAAGTGGATGTTCTTGTGTGACAAATATCTTGAAACTTGCCTTTCCCTCTTAGCCCACATTTGGGAGCACATCTGCAGTTGCTTTCAAAACACACCCTTGCAACATACAAGCACTTCTGAGCTCAATGTTTGCTACATGCTGAAATTAACCTTTACTGACCAGTATCGCCACACTATCATGATGGCTTCTGCATGGCTCAGGCTGGCCTCAACACAAATTCTGTTACCCCCAGATCCTGCTGGTGGTGGTGGGGTGTGAACACCCTATCCCTAGACAATGTAAGCTAACATATGGGTCAGTAACATGCATATGGACTAAGGCAGCACAGGAGCTAAACCAGAAGACAGGATAAGAACCAAAGAAAGACAAGAGAGAGTTTGAAGATGGATTAGTAAATAACAGAGTAGGATGTGTTGAAAGTGGACTGAGAGGAAATCTGAGAGAAGGTTTGGAATATGAAACTAAAAGGAAAAAGGCCAAGAAGAAGACCAAGATGGGAACAGCAGGTCAGGGAAGAAGGAGGAACATAGATAGAAACTGAGGAGAAACAGTTCCAGGTCAGTGATGGAAGGAGAGGCCTGGTTGCTAGGCAACCCTCATAAAATGGAATTATTAAAAGGAAAAAAAAATATTTGTGTATGTTTTCTCTAATAGTTCTTAGGAAAATTTGGACATTGTTTAATGTTCCATATTTTCCTTTGTGTCCGTAAGGTTAATTTAAGCATGTGGTATGATTAATTACCTTTACATATATCACTAGTACACGCTACTGTTCTCAGGGTTCAGAATTTCTAAATATATCTCTGGTACAGTCAGCCCAGCATTTGCTTGGTTTTCTCCTGTTACTACAGTGCTCACATTAAGCAAAATGAAATGGGAAGCGAATTTAGCATGTATGGGAGAAGAGAAATTTATACAATGTTTTTGTTAGAAAATCTGAAGGTAAGAGACAACCCAGAAGATACTAGATAGGAGGATAATATTAAAATGCATTTTAAACAGTCTGTGCAAGAGTGAACCATAAGCAACTAGCTGAGAATAGGGCCAGTGGCAGGCTCTTGTGAACATGGCAATGAACCTAACAGTTCCATAAAATGGAAGGATTTCTTTTTTGTATAGCTGATCAACTGTCGTCTTCCCAATAGGATCTTTACATAATGGATTGTATTTTGTCTGTATGAGTTTTGAGGTTTCCATGGTGGCAGAAATTTGGATCATCGTTCTATGTTATGATGCCGTGTGGTCTTGATAATTTTTACAGTGATTTGTGACTGATCAGCTGTCTTCAGAGGTTAGACTGCCTGTAACATGGAGTTCTTGTGGGGAGGATTGTTTCTGATCTGTTTGGTATGGAAACTGGGAAACTGAATACTGCTGGATGGTAGGGACTTAGATGAATGATAAAGTAAAAGAATTTGAAAGAAAGCTGTCATGGCTTAATTGAAATTCTATCCTCGCCTTTGCTTGGAGAGACTGGGAAAAACCATGAAAGAGCCAGGATATCCATCATCCCAGCTGAGATTCAAACCAAGCAATTCACAATTGCAAATCTAGAGCATTACCTCCAGGCAGACCTGTGTGATGGGGTTCCTCCTTGAGATGCTGATAGTCACCCAGCTACTCAAGGAAGTTGCCTTTTATGGAACCTAAAGGTACATTACTGTGTTCAGAAGGGCTTTCTAACCTGTGTAACACTTCACAGCAGGCTGGATTGTACAGTGGGGCCTTGTTATGTTCCCACCCAGTGCCAAGCTAGAGGGCCACCTCTTGTTGGCTGTCAGCAACTGTATGCTTTACATGCATCTGGAGGTCCATTTGCAATGTGAGGACATATTGCGTTTTCTATAGGAAATGCATCTTAAGCAATAATTTGTGGTGGTGAGGATTGTTCAGAGCCTTTAAAAACATTCTTAATTTATTAAACGCACACGGTGAAGCTCGGAATGTGTGGTTGGCGTGTCAGTAAGGATTTCTGTGACAGCACAGATGAACAGAGTGATCACCTTGTGAAGCACGATTTGAGGGGAAGCATGTTGTACATGCCCGTTTCCTAAATGAAAAGTAATTTCTGCTGGATTATGTAGTCATACTGTGACCGTCAGTTTGCGGTTATGCCACTTTTAAGAATTATGATACCAGGGATGATTTTTGTCACAGGGTCTGGAAATATTGTGTTATAAATTGCGACACAGTTTTGGGGAAGTTTTTCTGTCTTTAATGAGGTGGGACGGGAATGTTATTAGGCATTTGCCAGATGTGGTACAAGCGGTGAAGTTGAATGTGCTGTTGAACATGGGCAGTTACAGGGGATTCAAAAATTGTTCCAAGGTGTCACATGACCACTAGTTCAGTGTACCCTAGCGTTGCGACTAGAGTGCTAACTGAACAGATTGTTAGTAGCACCTCACAGAGGATGACTGAAAGATATTGGAACACCTCTCATAACACAGAACACACCAGCTGTAATCTCTTTTGGTACATTCACAAGGAGAAGCTGCAGTAATGCACCTGCCCGTCCAGATGTCCACATGTAATAACAGATTATCATGAAATTTGTTACTGGGGCAAGAGGCTTTACTAAAACATACATTCTAATTTGGGTTGAAACTGGACAATAATAATGGGCACTTTACTTGAAGATGCCTGTATCTCAAATGTAGTTTACTAAATGTTTGTCAGAGCAAGAAAGACATTACTGTGGTTACATGCCAACTGCATGCACTGTTTTTTCTGCAGTGTACCATGATGTTTCAGAGGTAAGCTAACCTTGCAGTTTTGATGGCAAGTACACAAATTGGTGCCTGTGACTGATGCATAAAGTTTTAATATTAATTCTGGTGGGATGTTACTGATATGAAGAGGAACAGAAGGTGGAATAAGCCCCCTTTGACTAGATATTCATGTATTAAGTAGGAACTGTGTGAATGGCGTCTAGTTGAAAACAAACATAACCTGTTTTGCTCTGTCTTTGTATTTTGATTATGATTATGTCTGCCAGATTAAGTAATAACCAAAGTGTCACTGTATTTGACAGCAATTGATGTTATATTTACTAATATAATTATACTTCAAAGCATTGTTATTGTTTTGGTTTTTTATAATGTGAATTGTTTTCTTTGGAATAAAAAATGTGCATATACAGACAAATGTTAGTCCCCAGAAAATCAGATGACATGAAGTTTAATTACTGCCTTCTGGGATATGATGCCATGTAGCCTGATTGATATTTCTCAGACTGAAAGATGTTCAAGCAAAAAAGTTGATGGCACATTTTATGTGCAGGACACACTTCTGGTAAGTCTTGTGGTCTATTGAGATAGATAGAAGTGAGTGAATGCCCTAGGATTGTTATGTTATGCATTTATTGCATTTGGCTTTGTGTTCTTGTACATGTATGGCTTAGTTTATCCAGTTACTGCATCGAGGTTGCCTTAACAGTTTATTGAGGTCAGTACTGTGTAATGTTAGAGCATGATCCCAGTGATTTCCTTTTGTAAGTTGTTCGTCTTCATGCCCTGTGGAGGGCGGATTCATCCATTTTTATCATTTATTTTTACTTTCTGTATATAATTATTAACATTATTCAGATAAGTAATTATAGCAAGTAAGCATATTGTACTCTTTTCAATACAGATGTGTAGAACAAACTCCATATTAAAATGTACTGTACTTCATAACCTCACTTTTTTGAAGGAACCGTTTTTTGTATACATTTGATAGTTCCATTGGAGAGGCTTTTTTCAGTGAAAATCTTATCCATTTTTTGGATAATTTTTGTGTGAGGATGGAGTAATGTACAAGCTTGATATGCTTTGAACACAGGTGCCAAATTATTGTAATTCTCCCTGTAATAATCTCTGATGTAACTTCTGTAAATGTATTTCTCTTTGTAACTCCACTGTCTGTAATAAATTACTTGCATAACACTGCTGTTTCGCTCTGTCACACTGAACCCTGCACTTTGCCTTACAGAGAAGCCAGACAAAGTCTATCAGAGCAAGATAACTGAATAATCGATCCCTTTTGCCGTCACTTCTCCTGCCACATCCACCAAGTGCCACGGTCTGGTAGATGCTATTCCATCCTGCCAAATATCTTAGCTCAAGTAGTGCCTGCATCTGACTTGTATTCAGGAGGTGTCCAGTTCAAGCCTGGGTCAAGACACTGGCTATGCTGACTTGACATTCTTTCTGGTTTTCCTCAGTCTCTCCAAGTGAAGGCTGGGATATTTCCTTAAACTAGCCTACAACAACTTCCATATTTTCTCAGATTCATTATGAAGTTGTCATCCTACCAATTGGCACTGTACAGTCCTAGCTACTGCCATTGCCAGTAAGTACATTTCCTGTGTACAGTCAGTCTAGTGAGGACAATGTTTATTGGTATGCCATTTCCATGAAAACACAACTTAACTCATTCGCTTTTGGTATGACCAAATGACTGTATTCACTTAGTGTTACTGTATGAGCCTATGCTACAGAAAGGTACCTGTATTGTCATTGTTGTTGTATGTCTTCTGCCAAGTTATTTCTCCATAACTTTTTGTTCAAGTTTATGGGGTTCATATTCAGGCAAATCATGAGTTCAGAGTGGCCCTTAAGGGCTATAATGTGTATGAATGGGTCAGTGGAAGGGATAGAGATGGAAATTATAAAATTTTCAGCAGTAGACGCTTAAAATGCCATGGTAATTATGTTAGTGCAGTGCCCTTAAGACGCGATGGTAGGATTTCTCATTGTTTCATGTAGGGAGGGTCTGTAATGGGCACCATCAGGATTTTTTCAGAAAGGGGAGCAGCTGAAAAACATGAAGAATCTGTCTGCGATATAATGCCATATAGTCAGTTAACCTACGTTTCTGAGGTATGTATCGCCTCCATCTTCAGGGTTGAAGAGTAAGCCAAGCAAGAAACGAGCTTTGCTTGTTGTCTGCTTCGTGCTTGGCTTATTATTCAACCCTGAAGATGGAGGCGAGGCGACATGTTACTCTGGAATGTCACTTGACTTTAATCTGACTACACGGCGTCATATCCCAGAAGATATAACTACATCGCTGTGAGAACCTCAGACCCTACTCAGTACGCTTATGGAGTTAAGTTTAAGCTGGCTTTCTTGATCTTGTTAAGCGACTTTTGTATTCGGAATAGAACGGTATTTTTGTTTTAATATTTTGTATATTTATTTACTTCCAATTTTGATCGTTTTGCTCTAATACAGAAGTGCAATACATGGTTTTCCCCCGGCCTCCACTCTAGCCGGTACCCGTGACAGCTGCGGTACAGCTATATCAGGATAGATCGCAAGTTCTTATCTGTGCTGAGTCGTCTTCAGAACTCAGAGGTATAGAGGCCATTTGTGTCTGCTCTGCATGCTTAGAAAAAGAATTTAGGCATGACTTGTATAGAAGTGGATGAAGGGTATCGCCGTGCGTCTTTGAGGGCCCATTTGTGGACTGTTCGCAGCAAAAACTACAGAAATGTTCGTTGTATCTGTGTCCGAACGAAACAACTCTCAGGCCTCACGCGGATGTTGACAGAGTTTGACGGTTGCTTAATATATATTACAGATTTGGCCAAAACCAGACCAACAATATGGGACGGACACTTCACATGAACGCCCATTTCCTGCTCGACTCAAAACTCCAAATTTTCATCTGAGCGAAAAAAGAATCTTGGAGAAAGTATTTTAGAGAAAAATGAAACATGCCGGACATACTTTTTCCTTGTAAGATGATTAAACAAACGACACCGAATGGGACCGGAACTGTTATGCTGTGCGTACGTTCCCTAACTTACCAAACATGCAGATGAGTTCCGGAGTTGATGTTCGTATCCCGCCCATCCACCTATTGTTGGGTTGCAGAACTGACCCGGTTTCTCGTGAAGCAGTGACGTCATGGCTTGTGGTTGGCGGATGCAGCCTTCAGCACGCCGCAGTGTTCTGTCAGCTTGCGAGAGTTACAGGGACAGTTGACTTGGGCTGGAAAACCGTAAGTAACGCAGTTCTTAGTTCGGTTATATTTACGAGCGTTTAAAAACAAAAGGTGTGCTGCCTGAGTAAGATCATATTTGTGCTTTCCCCCATAGTCTGTTCTAAATTTGTTGTCATGTGCACAACACGCACGTCTGGGTCATAAACCAATTGCAATCAGTTGTGACGACGGAATGTTTACCACTTGGGCCGCGGGATGTCTGGTTTTCTGAGCGGTCACTGAGATCAGATCTTTCTAATGGACCCATTTGAATGGGTGCATCTTCACTTTTTCACCTGAGGGCGCAAATTGTTCCAGTTTTCGAAACGTCAGTTTCTGTTAAATACAAGATAGACAACGTCCAGAAACCCAGCGGTTCAAATTACCGGTCATAGAGAACAATCAATTTTAACGTGTGTGTGTGTGTGTGTGCGCGCGCGTGTCAGTAAGCACCACGCGAGCGAAAGCGTATGGGAGACCTTAACCTCAAAGGTAAGTCGTCGGCTTCACGCCTCGGTCACGTTGCCCCCTGGGGAGAGAGCCCACGGTATCCACTGGAATAGCACATGGGTGGGACTCAGTGCCGGTTTGGACACTGAACAAGAGAGAAATCTCTTGCTCCCACCGGAAATCGAACTCTTGAGACCTCGGCGTTGCAGCCAGTCGCTGTTGCATTAAGACCGACGTTTACCTTAGAAAAGGAAAATGAGATTGGCATAATGTTCGTGGCGAATAATATCGCCGTCTGGGGTTTGACGTCGTGTAGTCCGGTCCCTAGTTCCTTGCTTGGCTTACTCTTCGACCATATAGATGGACGCTCCGAAACGTCGCATAGAGAGCCTCGAATCCAACATAGAGCCCTAGTTTAAACACGAATTTACTCTTAAAAGAACGCACTATGTATTGCAGCTGCTTTAACATACTAAAAAACTGCATTCTGCCCACNAGACGTAATGTGTTTCCTGTGAGGTACGGATTGAATTCTTATATATAAAGTCTGTATTCTGCCCGCACAGTGTATTTGTGTGTTCCATATGGTTCTCACAATAAACAGCGACTGTTTCCCCAAACAGCATTAACCGATTGGGCTCCGTAGCGGAGACGTAATGTGTTTCCTGTGAGGTACGGATTGAATTCTTATATATAAAGTCTGTATTCTGCCCGCACAGTGTATTTGTGTGTTCCATATGGTTCTCACAATAAACAGCGACTGTTTCCCCAAACAGCATTAACCGATTGGGCTCCGTAGCGGAGACGTAATGTGTTTCCTGTGAGGTACGGATTGAATTCTTATATATAAAGTCTGTATTCTGCCCGCACAGTGTATTTGTGTGTTCCATATGGTTCTCACAATAAACAGCGACTGTTTCCCCAAACAGCATTAACTGGTTGGTGTCTGTAGCGGAGACGTAATGTGTTTCCTGTGAGGTACGGATTAGATTTGTATACATATATACTGTATTATCTACGTGAACTGCAGTCTGTGGGTAGCAACTGACTCTACTGGGATGGAATGCTGAGTCTCTGACGTGTCAGATGAGTTCATCTCCGAGCTTGTTTAATCTTAATGTTAGTTTATTGCTAATGTGAACTAGAATAAGCGAATAACTCGATATCGGCGTGCCAGCAGCTGCCACTGTTTAGGATAAAAAGAAAGATGTACCATATTACACGGTAAGTAAACATATCAGCATTCTGTAACATTTGTCGTCAAGGTCAGTGTCGACTTTACTGTGTTCACACTTTACACCAGGGATCGCTGCTTAAACTTTGCCCCCCGCCCCACCCCCACAGGACTGTACCTCGCCCCCGACCTCAACTCCTAAGCACGCAAGACACACATCAATAACTGAAAAATGCAGAAGTCAATTGTCTGTCTTTTGGGATGCAGATAAGAGAGTAGCCCGGTAGAGCACGGACGTTTCGGATGAATATACTGCCACCATCTTCGGAGTCGAAGCGTAAGCCACACAAGCAGATGGGTTTGTCGTTTGCTTTCCATTTAGACCCTGAAGATGGAGGCCGTATATTCCTCCGATGCGTCTGTGAAATTACACTAGACTACACGGCGTCATATCCCAGAAGACACTTCTCTCCATATTCACCGCCTTTAGAAACCGACCACAACAATCTGTGTCCCTCTCTCGACGCTAAGAAGTAACGTAACGGCAAGATCAAAGCTTCGAAATCACACAATTTCAGGTTACCGCAGCGACGAATTGTCAAACATTAATATTGTGACATGTAGGTCCATTGCCAAGTGACAGCTGTGTGGACACTTTGTTTCCCCGACAACGAGAGAACACGCAATAATGGACGTTTTCTGTGCGGTCCGTACCGAGACTAAAAACGAGATCTATTAATAGGTCAAGTAACCTTGACTTTGAGAAGTGAGAAGCTGGTAGCTGAGGCCGGGGACAGTTCGGGAACCCAGAGGAAAGGGAATATCCGCCGTTGAAAGCCACTACCAAGCAACGGCTAGTGAAGCCTGAGAAGACTTTATGTGTGCTGTAGTTGCAGTGGTCTTTAGAATGTATAACTCAGTGAGACTGTCGTAGTTACATGCAGTTACGAGTTGTTTAAGAGTTGTTACCCATTCAAATCCCGTCTCTAGTCACACTTATCACGTGACAGTATGTTTTATGAATGTATTGTGTAATAGGTCAGAAACGGGAGATCTTCTTTTTCAGTGTATCGTGCCTACTCAGTGAGTATTGACGGTATTTTGATGTGAATATGTGACGTGTAGTATATTGTATAAAGAAGACTGTATCAACTATTTATGCGTGTTATTCATGGGAGGTGGTGTTAAACGTTGGCCCCGAATGGAATAGCGGAGAAAATGGCGGCAGTTAATAGTACGAACGCTTTTATAACAAAAGTTGAGGCACCCCGTTGAATTCCTAACGGGAGTTAACATCGCTTATTTAATCTGGCAACGCAGCCCTGTTTATTTCGTAACACAAGCAGACGATCCATTTGCAGTGAGACATGCGGACACTGGTAGTCAAGAACGGGTAAATATGACATAGTAAATTTAAAAAATATAATATTTATAGTCAAATTTGGTGCCCCTAAAGGCAGGAAGGGGTCGAACTACTCCCATGCCGTCTGCGCACAGGAGTTGTAAACATAGCAAAGGCAGATAAATATCGCATAACCTAATGACATCGCCGGCAAGACGCAAGGTAAAGGCGAACAAGCTGCGTTCTCTCTACCGTGCTTAAGGGCGAGGTCGCCCACCATCAGCGTCACTCCCAAGGCACGTGACAGTGGCATTACATTTCGCAGGAATACAATTGCAGACGACTATACCGGGTCACAAGCAGTCCAGGCCAAGTGTCACGTTTGGAAGAGTATTGTATTCTGGAATGTGACGCCGTGTAGTCTAGTAGAAGTTCGCACATAACTACACTGTGTGTGCAGAATGCAGAGCCTGTGTTGTACTGTAAAGGGAAAGCTGTTGTCACTATGCTTGTGCGTGTAACACTGCGCTACAGTTCGGCAAGCGTGACCGTCACAATCTGCCTCTGTCATTACCAGGTGAAAACGACTTAAGTTACTTCATGGTGGGGGCTCATGACGTGCGAACTGCGCCTCCCGTTGAGCGCCACTCCAACTTCCTGTTCGGGAAGTGTCGCATTCAAATCTTGCCCACAGATTTCTATCCTGACTATGGTTATTCGTGGTTCTCTTTAGTCCCTGCAGACAAATTCCGGTATAGTACTTCAAAATAGACCACGACCTCTTCCTTCCCCATTTTTTCCAGTTCATTATTCACAAATCGATCATTTTTTCTGAGCTAGGAACGTCAACAAGATTTCCGTTGCCCACATCTGTGTCGTGACCCAACATGTTGGTGGGTCGACTGAATTACGTTGGCCGAGGGGTAGCGTAATAATTCAGTGATGTTGATTGAGCGTGTATTCCAACCACAAAGAGCAAATACAGTACTCACTACAGAAACCTGTGTGTATATTACAGACAAGCGCTGACGGACGTAAGTCTGGCCAGCCTTCTCCTAGCAACAACCCAGACAAAATGCACCCTTCAACTCCTCTCTTGTTCTTAAGAACTGATCTAAACCAAAGATGCAGCCCAATGTCTCGAGACATGAACCCCTCACGAATCTCAAGTTACACCAGCGTGAGTTGAAGGATAGGTCCCAAACAAATTACTCCAGGACTCCACTGATTTATGAAAATGGCAGGGGTATATATAACACTAAAGTAGAAGCAGGTCAACCTTTTGACACGCTATAGATTTTAGTAAAGAAAAAAAAAGTAAAGCTATCCCTGTACCAGGCCGTGAAGGCCCATAGCGTTGTGAGACGTTGAGGATCCCACAGTATCTAGATAATTGGCTCAAAGATGGCGGTAAGGTTGTCAGCCTTACGCGCCGGCCGCGCTTTACTCCCCAGGAAAATTATTTAATTAATTCCTGGTACTCGTTTCTGTTAGACGCTGAGGCGACCCCAGGGCCATAGACCCCAGACATCAGACTCAGGGTTCCTAAAACTACAGGGTTGGTACAACCCTTTGCGACATCTGCACGGCAGAAGGTTCCACCCAGACTACACGGCGTCACATCGCAGACTACAGCAATCTTTATGGTCACCGCTTGCAATCTGTGCTTATCGCGTAGGGTGAGCGACCGCACGAGATGACAGGCAAAAGTTTAGCAGCGTATATTTTAATATTTATTATACAGCATACGGGAAAAGTCTGAAGTGAATTTATTTATATTTGTTTCACTTGCTTCGTCAACTGGTATTTCCCTTTATTGTGAAACACGTTTTGAGAATTCTCAAACCGCGCCTCGAACAAAGTCACGCATTGCGTTATGGAATCAGCGATTACGTAATGGCTTGCACATGCGCAGAACTGACCGAGGTGCGTAAGACAAGCTGAACATAGCGTTGCCGACCTTGAATGTTTGAAAGGACAGCGATTCTGAGATGTAACATTCATATTATTTTTCTTAAAGCATAAAGAAATAAGCGAATACCGTCTAAAAGTGCCTTTTCCTGAACTGTTTTCTTTGACTTTTTCTTTTCACTTTATCTGATCATTTTGTTGCATAGTTTGCCATGTTGTGCTGCGCTCTAGCGGGAGGGTAGGAACTGCGATGAGTATTTCTTACAGTGCACTACAGATGGCAGGTGTGACAATTTCTGGGTTGGTGAAGATACGCGTGGACTTTCATGGTCATTAATGAAATCGGAACTGAGCGTCTTCGTTAGCGTAGGGAAATACAGCGACCTTGTTGACTGTAGCATTTAGAGTCCCCAAGTTTTGTAGTCTTTGTTAAATGAATATTCATGTCTGTTGAGCTGTTGTTCATGTCATGACCGTTAAATTGGCAGGCATCGGAACATGGCACAGAACAATGTACCCACAACTGTGAAACACATTGTTGCTTAATTCTGCAGTCTCAATCCGGCAGCAACACCGCACCGACGCCATATTTTTATGTCTGTTTCTCTGACTCTCAGTGGCGGTGTTCGTCACATTGCCTGGGAATTATCTGTCACTGTTTATGACAAAGATTTGAGGAAGTTTGTTTTTAATTGCAGGGGTGGGGGGGCTCTCATGGGTCAGTATCTGAGCTTGGGTTATCCCTGATTGGCATGTTCGCAAGGGTCCTATAGGTTCCTATCCTATACCATAGGAATCCAGCCTGCGCCTTCCCATTCTATATCTTTCAGATCCGTTTTAATATTATCCTTTACCTACTGCTAAGTTTTCGGGTCGTTCCTTGTTTCTTTGATATTCCCGACCGAGCAGGCTGGTGTGTTTGTGGCGCTCCAGACTTCTATTCAAGGGGACTAGGTTCCAGTCTCGGCCAGGACACCGTCTGTCGTGACTAAGGATATCTCCAGGCACATGCCAGGAAATTGCCTACATTAAGCCACAACTGTCAGCTTCTAAATCATTTGCAATTTATCATTATACCAGCCGTTATAACAAACCACAAGCGAATTCAAGTTCACGCCTTGTATGATTTCAGAGTCAAAATGCGGTCTCATCAGCGGTGGGTCCGCGCTGCAACAAAGGCTAAAAGAGCCCCAGGGCCCATGGTTCGAACCTCGAGCGAGCAGTTGCTGAAGGACCTACGCGGAGGGCTTGACCTCAGCCGGTGGGACCCAGAGCTATGTGTGCAGATGCTGAGACTGCCCACCGCGCACAACTACACCGCCATACGGAAGCTGCTCGACAAGGCCAGCAAGTGAGTGCATGTGAGACTGAGACTTTCCGCGAGCAATGCTCACTAGTCTGGTGTTCAAGGAAACGTCCTAAGTTTTGTGAACCATTCTAAAAGACAGGAGGAAAATATAGCAGAAGAGTAGGCGAAGTGACATAATTTGTTCCGCAAGGGGGGAGATAGGGGTTTGGGGCAGGGTCCGTTGGATTTCGATTTTCTGATTCACAGCGTAAAGTTCCTCTCTAAATAATACTCTGTACCTCACTAGACTTTGTCAACCGCTTGAAGGCCGAAGTGGTTACTAAATCTTTCGTAATTTTCCCTTCTCCTGAATTTTGGGATTCATATTTGAATTTGTGCATCTGCGGGTATGGACGCCAGCAGGGGGGGGGGGAGGGAGCACCAGGAATGCGACATCTCCCCTGGATTTTTGAAAACAAAATTCAAGATTTAAGGAAGAAGGAAATATGTCACACATCCATACCAAAAATCATAAATATTAAAAAAGAAAAAAGTTCCTCTGCCCCGGTAAAATGGAGACAGTGGGCCCCTGTTAAACGTTAGTGAAATTCTAGCGGATTGTGGGGAGATACACCGCAGCTGAGAACCCTCTGCTCACTTTGCGACCGNACCGTGAAAAATACCAGATGGTCACGAACTCTTTCGCATTCAGTAGCTGATACACACTGCTGAAATAATGTAATTGACATGCAAGGAATATGAATGTGAGTTGAAGTTGTTTTTGTGTTAGCTCTTTCTGTGGCTCGTGGCTGCTGGAAGAACTTGTGGCAACTTTCTGGGGGCTGATCCTGTCAGGGTTCGCATTTATCATCAGGGATTAGCCTAATCTGGAAGCTCGCCGAGATTAACTGGCAATTAACTCATATCATCTGACGTCACGGCTCTTCCTGAGACTTACGTCTGTCGACACGAAGTCACTGTCGGTGTTTCACAACTGAAACAATTGCTTGAAAGCTGGATCGTGGAAAGCACGGAAGTCGCGGCCTTGTTAATGACGCAGGCCTGCCCCGTTCCGTTACTGCTGTGTCTTGTTCCTGCCGTGACGAAGGTTACTGCACTTGGAGGCGTATGCTATGATATGCGACCAGACCTCGTGGTCGTGCTGTTGGCACCCCTGCACGGGCCTTCACAGACAAAGCAATAACGTGAGGATGGAGAAAATTACGTAATGATGAGCTTTATATTTTGTACTCATCGCCAAATTTTATCAGGGTGATCAAATCGAGGAGGCTGAGATGGGCGGGGCATGTAGCCGGTTCGAGAGGGTGGAAGATACATGTAAAATGTTTCTAGGTACACCCGAAGGTAAGCTATACATGAGTGGGAAGATATTATTAAAACTGATCTAAAAACATTGTATGACGATGTGGACTGCGAGCAGTTGACTCAGCACAGAGTCCTATGAACAAGGGAATAAACCTTCGGGCTCTGAAAGGCGGACACTTCCTCGCCACAGGGCGGTCAGCAGGTTACACCTCGAGTGTGGGCGGCCTTGCTGAACCTAGGGCTACGCAGGTGTTCAGGTACAGGCAGGCTTCTTCTATTTACCCTGTTCGTAACAACCGGAGAAACTATTTCCTTTTTCCCACGAGTTACTGTGACGGCTCAAAAGAGCCACACGTGGCACACGAATCACAGTTTGGCCACTACCGCACTGATATTGCGTCGCCCTTGTTTTGCCTTGCTAATTTATGGCACGGGATTTTCAATGTCACATTTCATTGTTCTTATCACGAGCTTCAGTAGCACCCGCTGTACAAAGCGAGTTCTGTCTCCTCGGACAATCGGTTGGTCAATGAGATCAGTTTTAAAAACAGCCGTTATCAGAAATTAGCCAACAGGACACAAACATTTTAACCGTAGGGATTACACGCGCTGTCGGTAATGCAGAAACCTTCTCGCCGGTGCTGTTAAAATCGACGAATTTCGCCAAGCCTAACAATAACACGAATTTGCAACACACCAGTAGGGACTCGAACTGGTTACCATCCGAACATGAACCAAGAATGCACCTCATGGGCAGTGACGCTGTTTACAAAATCGACTAGAAAAAAAAAGGACTAATTTAACCCGTTGTTTTGTATGGGTGTAAAACGTGGTATCGTACTTTGAGGAAAGAACGTAAGTTACGGATTCTTGCCCTTTGGTTTCGGCTGGTGAAGTCTCGCAAGGAGCCACTTATTTACCAGACAGCCCACGAGTTACAAGAAATGCTTGAAAAGTATCGGCCTGGGAATACACCTGCAATAAGATGCCTCATTCTTGTGATGATACCACGGATATCAGAGCTGTTCTCGGAAAGTGTGCCCAGATGCGCGAGATAACCGGCGCTTATCAGCGGCTCCGTGAGGGCGTACGTGACCGACGGAACGTTCCACCTCAGTAAGAAGCAGGCACAACGCCACGTTCCAGAAAACGGTTATTCTGATTGGCGCTCTCCTCGGTTTTCCTCAGGCCCTGCCAGCCGACTCTTTAAAAGTGTAAGGTAGTGGCGGCTAACCAATAGATACTGTCAAGTTTTGGGGTGTGACTATAGGAGGGGTATGGATTGGATAGCTGGATTTATTGGCACACCTATACACACCACTCGCAACTGCACGTGATTACAGCGCTGTCGCTAATCTCCAGCTAAGCCTTCTCCAGCCTGCTGTCTTTACCAGTCGTTCCCTGGCAACGGCCCTTAACAGTGGAGATTCTTCAGCTTCCTGCGCTAAGGTCCTTCCCTCGCAGACTCTCGTTCAGAACTTCCTGCCGGCTGTTACCTTAAGTGACAGACGGGCGGAGGCACACACAGACAGACAGACGGACAGAACGATAATAAAGAACGCGACATCTTGAAGCCCTGCAATGAAAAGGAAATTTGTCCGTGGGCTCCACTAATTTTGCACCACGCCGAGAAATTGTATGGGGGTAGTGGAGGTATAGCTCAATGCATTCTTTACTTCGGCACCGTATTTACGTGGATGGAGAGCTTCACACCTCGGCCGCCTTATCCTTTACGAAAGATGTGGATGGGCACTAGAGCCTGTCCGGACTCTGTGAGCATAAGATGGGAATCTCCGATCCTGCCTGGAATCGAACCCCCGATTCATCGGTCAACCACACCGTAGCTTGGTGACTAAACTCACTGAGCTACCGCGACTCGAGCCCTAATAAAACTAAGTTCAAAACTAACCTAACATAAATCATGCTCCGGCGTCCATTTGCCCCATGAGGAAGGATGCTGTTAGGAGAGTCGAATGGTAGGATCATTACTGAAATGGAAGTGGCCGAAGCCTATTTGGTAGACGTAGGCAGAGATGGATGACGTTGATACCAAAATAGAACTTCAGGAAACTGTGTGTGAGGCTGTGGGTTCAGCTGGCTCAAGATAGGCTCCAGTGGCACGCTCTTGTGAGCACGGTGATGAACGTACCCGTTCCTGAGAGGCAGGGAATTCCTTGATTAGCTGAGCGACTGTCAGCTTTGTGGTGTTTGTTGCGAGTCGTGTTACCTCGCAGTTGTCACAGACATTTGTTACGTCTTAAGGCTGTCAAGCGAGCCGCATGTCTCGCAGCTAAACGTGCCGCCCCCGCTGCCATAA